TACGTACTACGTACTCTACGTCTCTACTCTACTCTCTCTCTCTCTCTCTCTCTCTCTCTCTCTCTCTTCTCTACGTCGTTACGTACGTACGTACGTACGTACGTACGTACGTACGTACGTACGTACGTACGTACGTACTACTACTACTACTACTACTCTCTCTCTCTCTCTCTCTCTCTCTCTCTCTCTCTCTCTCTCTCTCTCTCTCTCTCTCTCTCTCTCATGCTTTAGGAGGTTGTGAAATCCACAATAGTAAATAAAGCAGATTTGATATGCTTTTGGAGGTTGTAAAGTGAGAAATTATAAAGGGAAATTTATCAAAGGAAAATGTTGAGATTAGCACACTAGCTCATATGAACATATGAGCCCAATGGCCCAGATTGAATCTAAGCTGATCTGACGGTCATGACCTCATTTCGTATTTTAATTTTAATTTTTTTTATACAAATCCAAATAACTTGAAATTTTAGGCATACATTCTTCTCATCAAGGCGTACCTAATAAAAATATTTTAAAAATAAATTGCTAAAAATAAATTGACCAAAATAACTCAGAAACATTTCAGGGGTATTTTGGTCAAATTATTTCTTGCAAATTAATTTTTTGATATTTTTATTAGATTCTCCTATTTTTTAAGAATACACACCTAAAATTTCAAATTATTTGGATTTGTCGAAAAAAATTAAAATTCAAATACGAAATGAGGTCATGACCGTCACATCGGCTCAGATTCAATCTGGGACGTTGGGCTCATATGAACACATATGTTCATATGAGCTAGTGGGCCAATAAGAGATGAACTATTTAACATTCTACCCAATTGTAACTATTCCAACTCAAAATAAGTGGTTTTTTAAGGGTATTTTGAAATTAAATCAAAAGATATGAGTAAGGTGTTAAATAGTTCATCTCTGATGGGTAATTTTGATCAATTTCCAAATTATAATAAAGCAGATTTTATCAATAAAAAAATCTGCTTCCTTGTATTGTTATTAGTTATCCTAATGTGCTCGTCAACATTTTCTTTTTATTGTATTTTTTGGGGTTATAGTTAAATAAACTACTCTTTAACAGAATATAAATTATTATACTAGTAAAATTTAATTAATAAATAATCATTTTACTGCCCATTTTGTTGCCCCATCATTCACTGTATTTTTTGATATTATTGATTTTAAATTTTTTAATTCCCTTCAATTATTATTTATTGATTAAATAATTGTGCAAAGAAATAAAACAAACAATGAATATATGGTCCAGATCTTTTTTTGTTGATTGATCCCCATTCCTCAGCCCTCTATCCCAAGAAGCAAAGAAAGACAACAAAACATGCATACAAAAAACAAGGACTGACAAGCAAAGAAAGACAACAAAACACGCATACAAAAAACAAGGACTGACAGGGGTGAAGATGTGTGCACCATAAAATTAGAGGTTTCACATGAGGTAATATTGCAATTCACAAGTGACGATACAGTAGAGGAGAGAACAATAAATGGATCTTTGGAGACAAAGAAATATCAAGAACAATTTGTCTGAGATACAGGGTCATCTAGAAGCTTCAGAACCTATCCATCAAAAGCTTAAAAAGAGAAAAAACCTTACTAAATCATAACAAAGAGGAAATTATGAATTAAGGCCAAAGTTGATAGGTTTTACCCACCATCAGATTTCTTAGAGCTGGATTCTGAAAAAGGCCCTAAATTAGATATGGCTTAAGCTGACAAACAAGTTGTAACAAGGGATTGCATCAAGTTTAAATGTGATTATAATCGACTCCTGAACAGTATTGATACCAAAAATGTCCTTTGGTGCTATGCTTATTGCTTTTCAATTATGTGCTCCATTGGAGAAAAGAGAATAATCTACCCAGTAATGAATTTTATGGGAGGGCACACCCGAGTAAAATCATCATCAAAACCTGGTTTCTGATTTCCTTGGTGTACGATGAACAAAAATTTGTTCATATAAAGAAAATGGAAAACGCAAAAATAAACTTTTTCCAAGAAAGATGTTTCACAGTAAGATGAATACATGCCAGGACATCACTATGGGGAGAAAGAAATGGAAAACGCAAAAAAACAGTGTCCAAGAAAGATGTTTCACAGTAAGATGAATACATGCTAGGATATCGCTATGGAAAGAAGCATTTGAAAGCCACCAAGTCATTTGAACAAATCTTATAGGCTATTGGAACACCAATCCAAGACATCTGCAAAGTTAGTGTGTTCATTGAGCCAAAAAATAAATAGTTGATATGGGTTAAGACATGAGAGCAACAAGAATCAACTAGAGCTGACAGATGTCTTCAGTAATAAAGGAGAACAAGTCACAATTACTTAAAATGGTTATATCGTGAGGACAGTGTAAGAACATGATATAACCAAAAAAACAAAAGGCAAGATGTTCTTGAACCTATTATAATGGCACAGATTGTCACAAACACAAATCTTAAATTTGCAAGACATAAATCTAGACATATGTAGTGACTTTCAATCGTACCATTAAATTGTAATGATCGGTCATCAGAGCAATAAGCCCTGCACCTGATACATGTCCTTCTGAAAGAGATAAGTAAGCCTACAAATATGTTAAAATATTAGCACAGAAACTATTAATAAACTGTGATGATTAAATTTCTGACAGTTCAAAAAAAATCAACTCTAAATTAACTAACAGAAATGCCAGGCACAGAAAGCATAACCCTTCCAAAGCAATATTAAAGCCAGGCAGGATTAATACCTCAAACTTAACAGTGTGATGCACATAACACACAAAATTCAGGCAGGTGAAAGCAAACCAGCATACGGTTAAAATGAGTGTCAAAGAAAATATGAAATAGAGTACAAGTGAACATCATGCACAGTCTTACTTGAAGAATATAAAATATAGAGGACAAACTATGGAATAAGTAAATACCTGACTACAAGCTTGACACAAACAACTATGTGTAATAGAATATACATAGGAAAGGTTATGGACTGTAGCATTCAAAGTACCGTATGGTACGGACCTTTTCTTTTTCTTTTTTCCAATAAATATTTCGGGAAAGGCTTCAAAGTACCTTATAGCACGGATCTTTTGTTTTTTCTTTTTTACAATAAATATTTTAGGAGCCTTTCTCTATAGTTTTCGCTTTCTTGGGCTAGTTTTTGTATGCACCCAAAACTAGCAGATCTTTTTATGATGACCCGAAATCTTGTGATAAGCGCTTTGAACTGTTTGGACAACAGTGCGTTTCCAAATATGAAAGTTAAAAAACTTTACCATCTAGTCAAAAAGCCACATCTAAAAAAAATTCAAGACATGAATTTTTAATGAAGTTTCGCTCTTGAAACCCCCATCAACCAAACCAAACCCCCACCCCCACCCCCCCAGGAAACCAAAAAGGAGACCCACAAAACACAAGCGATGCTCTCCCCCTCCAAGTGCTAAATTCTGCCAACACCAACAAACCCCAATCAACCACAACACAAAGAATTTCCATGGCCACCAATCCACCATCAATCTATCTCCTAATAATTCTTCTTCACTCTAGCCTCTCACAAAGAGCAGAATTGCCAGGGATCGATAAATATCACCTATGGCCTGGTAGTCACCAAGCCGCTCAGTGTCACCATCATTCCCTCTCTCTTCTATCATGATAACCTCACACTCCTTGATCTCTATCTCAACAACCTCATTGGATTCGTTGCCCCTTCCGTCTCCCCTTCTCTTGCCCCATTTGAATCTCTCCCATAACGTCATAACCTCCTCCCTTGATGGCACCATTCCTCTCCCTCTTTCCCTCCTTGACAATGTTGATCTCTCTAACAATAACTTCACTGGCTCCCTCCCCCATTTTTTCTCTTTTCTCTAGCCTAAGTCAACTGCTCCATTAACCTCCTCGATGGAGCCATCTCTTACCAGCTTGGCCCAGTCAAGAAATCCCACCATTAAAGGACATTTTCAGGAAAATGAAAACAAGAACCATTTCTATGATCTAGTGCTTTGATGTGTAGCCAAGCTACACAAGCCAGGGGCAAGGCAAGCAACGTTTAAGCGAAAGTTGAAGAGGGCTTTGACAAGACTTGGCCACTTGCTCTGTTTGCAAAAAGCCTAGTTCTCCATACAACAGCAAAAATTTCTCTATCATTGTCCGTTAAGACTGTTACAACCAGAAGGGCTGTAAATTGAGTTGCTTCTGCTCCATTAGAATTGTTTCAGGCTGTAGGCCACACCCAACGGTGGCTTCAAATCTTATCCAATTTCAAGTGTGTTTCTTCTGGTTTCACTGTATTGATTTTCGGTTTTTTGGGTTGGGAGTTTTTATGGGGATTTTTTGGGTGTCCTGCTGCAGTTTTAGGGAGAGTTCCTTGGAATCCAGAGATTTCCATGGGGTGGGGAGCAGCAGATAACAAAGGCATTTAAAACAGCCAAACAAATTTCAAGTAGTAAAGAAAAAATTCCAATTTTTTGAAGGGATTGTATAAAAATGAGATCATTTACCTTTGATACAAGGTGGTCACAATTACTTACAACCCTCTGATGTGAAATTTGATGGCTTGGTTGTGTCACAAAGTTCGAGAAAATTTCTTTTGAAGTTTGAGCTTGGTCAATGGAATAATTGCAGCCACCCAATTTCACATCTAATGATCAAGATTAATGTGACTACCATGTACCAAAGGTAAATAGTCTCATTCTATATTTTCCCTTTTTTTAATTTATATATGAAAAACTTGAAAACTTTTTCAACAATAAGCATTTCTTATGTGACATCCCAACTAGCCCTTTGTGAAATTTATCACCTATTGTAAAAATTGAAAAAGAATCAGCACATCTAACAGAAGTTGCATATGACAAATGAAGAAACATCTTCCTAGACATTTGTCAACAACTGTATTATCCCAGGACGTTACCTGCGAAGCTGCAAAAAGCATTTGGAAATTGAGAAACAATATAAGTTCAACTCCATCATCAGGGGTCAAAATCATGTTAAAAGTACTATCTATTTGCTCATTAATAGCATCCAAGAATAGTCGGAAGATGGCCATCATTTCATGAAACCATTTTTTTTGTAAAAGGAAGACAGTGACTGCAATGGTTTTGAGCTATATCAACATTCAAAAGCACGACGGCTTCCACTTCACATTGCAAATATTCTTTCTAGGCTCACCTTGTTCATTCGATAAAGAGCATGTACCATATCTATGGATCGATTACGTATTGCCCCTGCAACCTAAATATCCAAAAGAAGTTCTCAATCAAGAGAAGTCAAAACCAGCACAATAATGATTTTACACTTCTAATGAGATTTACAAACAAGTAAACTTTAGTTGCCAAAATAGATCCTACATAACTTGTCAAACTTTCATATTTTAATAATATTTCTCAGTCACATACAGAAGAAGGGAAATACAAACAAAAGAAGGCAAATTGTGATCAAACTAGATTAACAAAACACAGTACTAACCTTTTTCCAATCCTTCCCAAACTTGCGATAAGCGTCATAAAAACATTCAAGCTCTTCTTTGCTCCACTGAGGACCAATATCTTCAAACTTTCGTTTCTACACAAATTTGGAACATTTAAGAATGTCAACGGGTGAACTTAAAAGGCAAGCAGCCGAAAACAAAGACCAAATGGGGTAAAGAAGCACATTTGCGGTATTGAAGTTGTGTAGACAGCTGAAAAAGAGACCAGGTTCACGTGATAGGCACATTATGACAGAGAAGGGAATCTCACACATGTAATAAAATAAAGCTACAACCTACAAGTAATATAGGCATTTCCCATCTTCAAAGACAAGAACTCTAAGCAATTTTTTTGCTTGGATTCTTCAAGTCCATATTTTTGCTCCTTTGAAATGATGGTAGAAAAACCCATTCATCCAATTGAAAAATGTTTAGCTGTGTGACATTAGTTGCAGATTTGGCTACAAAGCTGGGCTGGAAAGACTACGACAGTGACGCTCCTTGATAGGAGATTGAAATTTCTTTGTGACCTTTCTCATATGGCCCATTTTGGAAGGTTAAGCACAAAGAAGATTCCATTAATTCCAACCACGCTGCATAACTCTTATGGTAAACTGACTAAATTCAAATTCAAAATGTAATGTGCTTAGGGTTTATTTACTTAGGAGATTGAAACTAAGGTCATTTTGGTCTTTCTTTTGTAGACCTTTTAGGGGTATTTGTGTCTTTTTTTGTCCTAGAGATTTTAGGGATTTTTGTCATAAATCGAAGGCTATGAGTTAATAGTGACTAGGGTCACTAGTGGGGTCAAATTAGGTTTTAAGTTTTTCTCTTATAAGTATATGACCTATTGAAAACAAAGGTGAAGGGAAGAAAATATTAAACTAAAAATTAAGACTTGTGAAATAGACCTTGTTTTTGGGGTGGACTCCCTCGTAGACCTAGACATAGGGCCCAAATCTCTCATCCTTTGGTGAATACTCACTTGCAGGCCTAGAGAAACAGCATATTCTCTCACCCTCCTTTTCATACTTTCTCTTTTATTTCTTTTATTCTCTCAACCTCCTCTTTTTTAAAAAAAATATTTTACCCCTCTTTCTTCTACTGCAAAGGGTAAGCATTTCTCAGACCAAACTATAGCAGATTACCAAACAGTCCCAAGTAGACTCCAGTAGGGACCATTTCGCACCGAGGACTAAATTGGTGTCCTAATTACAAACAAATTCCCTAATTATTTCCAAAATGAACATGCGAGAAATTCAATTCACATTGTGGATTCAATTCACATTGGGGACATTTGCATGCGAAGACTCAAAAAATTGGCTCTTAAAAAGCACCCCCCCTTCCTCAAAGCATAATTCTAGGACATGTATAAAAATGATCTGTCTAGTTGTGTGATTATCTCTGAGAACTCCTTCTCATATGAAAGTATAATCCCCCGAATCCAAAAAATACAAAAATCTGACCACACCTTAAAAGGTAGAAGAAAACAAGTCCCTTTACCCATGAATCAAACCTCAAGCACAGAAGGTGTTTCATGCCTAGTAGAACTTGGATGGCAATGGCCCTGCCCATTACGTCCATGAAGGTATATTTTGTAAAAGCCATTGCTATTGCTGAAGAATATTCAAATATCCCAACAACTGCCTTCTACAAGATTATTTCTATATGTACAATGTACAAAATATTATTAAAAAATCCCTTCAGTCAAAATTTTCAGGACATTAATCTCACAACAACTTCACATTTCCATACTAACTTCTCCAAAATTTAGAAACGAATGAACAATATTACAACTGGATACCAGGCTGGCACAATTAGATCAAAATCATTTACATTACCCATGGAATAATATTGATGTTCGTTACAGTATCCCAGTAGCATTAAGTAAAGCAAAGTACATTAAAGTGCTACTTACCCAAAAAAAAAGTACATTAAAGTGCTCCTACAATTCTGAGACCAAGAATACAAATTTCAATCATAATCTTACTCGTGAATTACTCTTGTTTGGACTCACTCCATCCTTGTCAAAGGGCTCTTCATGGACTTTAGAAGACCGCCTATTGGCAGCTTTAGATTTCCTTGTTGAAGCCATGATTAATTTCTGCTTAATCTATCTGAAACAACGGAATAACAGTTTCCCTTGTTACCTTATCAGGGTGTTACTAGAACTAACATGGAAAACATGGCTAGTCTTGATTCCAAGCTAAAAGGCAAAAATAGGGAACGCATTAACCTCAAAATGTCCATGAAATAGAACAAAAACAGGTTCATTTATCAAAAAAAGAATATCAATCGTTAACAATATCACGTGCTCAATATTCAGCATGTTCAAATATAATAACCCTAGATAAGCAAACAGATAAAGGGGCTTTTTTAGTTTCTACTGTGTTAACCTACATGAGACCACGTGCTCAATCAAATTTATTAAGAAAATACGAAGATAACATGTCATGAAAATATTAATGAGTGGGTGTCAACAATGACAAGATTCAAATCCAACGACATCTGAGAGAAAAATAATTATCAGCGGCATGAAAGGTTTGCATTTTTTTATTTTTTAAAGTACATTATATTAGAAAAAACTACCAGCAGTTTAGTGGCTATTCAAAAGGACAATAAATAACTGCACCAACCCATTTTAGAAAGTACCTGATTCCATTTCATGGGAATAGGTTTAGTTTAGCTTGCAAAGGCTCATCCAATAGATCTTAGAGAAACAATGTCAACAGACAGTTCTAACAACAAGCATAGCTGCAAGGATGGGGTGTGCCAAATTAGAGAAGAAAAATAAATAAATAAATAAATTACGAGTGAGCGTGTCTTTCTTTGAGATAAAACATAACAGTGAAAGAACAAATACAAGGATGAGAGATAAAATCCTTAAATTCAAACATTGGCCACTAAAACTAGAAGTGAAATCCCTTAATTGAAACAAATAAACACAAAGATAATGTGACAAATGTTGGGTCAACATATCTCTAGATAGACTTGTTTCCTTTAAATCTATGACATACAGCCCATGCATCAAATAATTTAGGTTTGTTTATTATGATATGAACCAGAAATGACACGAGAAACTGATCTACCAAAAATTTGTCACTTGTACTCCATGTGAAGTTTCATAGAAATGCATTCAAGACAGTGAGATAAACATCTCAAGCAATAGTGACTTAGGCCAACTACAGAATAATAATTCTTTAACAAATAGTCAATAGATATTGAGATCAGAATGAAGGTATTGAGAATAAACCTTGATAGGCTACTCCAAGAGCACAAAATCATGGGAAATATTTTAAGAGTAGCAGTTTCATAACCCTTTCCATGAATAAGCAATACCCATTTTGTTTAAAATGACAACATTTAACTATCGTGTACATGGAATATGAAGAACGCAACCTGTTTTCAACCTCTTGTGATATGCAAACAACAAGCAATCACTTATTGCATCAGAGAAAACAAATACGAATAGAAACAAACACAATATGAACTTGATCAAAAACCCAAGAAAATAAATTGGAAAATATTAAGTATCAGACCAACTTATATTGCACATTTTAAATATTTGAATAAACAATTGTGATACTTGGTATAGATTAAATAAATAAAAAGTAAACTTCGAAAACCTTGAGACAATAATCCTCCATTTCATAAAAATACCAGAAAGACCAAAAATCCAACAAAACAAGTTGGAAAATATTAAGTATCAGACCAAGTTATATTGCACATTTTAAATATTTGAATAAATAATTGTGATACTTGGTATAGATCAAAAAAATAAAAAATAACATTTGAAAACCTTGAGACAATATCGGGACAGAATCCCCCATTTCAAAAAAATACCAGAAAGAGAGGCAGAGATCAACGCCATTACTCCATGTGAACTACCAAGAATTCAAAAATTGCATGGATATGAATTTTTTAAGAGATAATCAAATGAAAACGAAACCCTGGTTTCTAGCACCAAATCCAACATAGCCAATATGTCAAAAACTCTCCCCAAACTAACCTACCAATGACAAACCCTCGAACCATCAAATAATCTTTAGTCGCCAATCTGCATCATTACACAAACAATTCCCAACAAAAGTACAATCTCAAACCGTGATAGCCCAGAAAACCCTAATATTCATCTGATTAACCCATTAAAAAACAAAAAAAGGTAATTACCAGGATTCCTGAAACAGACTGGTTCTGCAATTCCACAGCCGCGAATCAATGGCAGAATACGAATATTAGATTGTAAATAAAGCAGTTTCTGAGCGATCAAAGAAAAGATCAATGGAAAATTTCAAGATTTTTTAAAGCTATTTGTAATGGCAATTGGGGTTCAGAGAGAGTGAAAAGAAAATGAGCTTTCACCACCTCTTCTTCCCCCTTATAAAGCACAAATTTGAAAAAACCCAAAACTATAAAAAGTTTAAATGGATAAAAATAAAGAAACCGGGAAGGTGACCGAAAATACCGAAAATACCCCTAGAGGGAAAATACCGAAAATACCCCTAGGTATTTGGGGAAAATCGCTGCGTCTTGGTGGGTTTGAACTGGGTGAGGATGAATTTCAAAAGTCTAAAAACATTTCATGCTCCCGGCTGAGCATATTGTTTATAACTGCCTTGGGTAAAACCTATTTTAAGAATAATTTTAGACCCTAAAATTTTGGAGGTATAAACCTTTCAACCCATATACTATACTCAATAAAAAAGTTATCAAACTATGTTCTCTATGTGCGTGAAAAAAATGATTCTTAGATGTTTATTTGTAACTGTCCAATAATTTAAGGTTGATATCTAAGTGTTATAAATCTAAAAATTTTTATTTTTATTTTTATTATAATAATCTACTGATTCATAGGGGATTCCCAATAATTAAGATAAAAATATCTTTCCAAGTTAGTCTTCTACTTGATGGAGTAAGGGCACAGTAAGCTCCCATGGGAACATTTTAAAATGTATAATAACCCGCCCATTTAAAGAACCGGTTGAATCGGTAATTCAATTCATTTATTTATCGTTCTCATAATATTTTTTTTTTTTCCGTTCAAATTGGGTGAGATAGTTAAGAGGCACATGCTATCTTGTATTTTGTTTCCTCTTTTTATTATAGAAAAAGTTATATATATAAACATGAGGTCCTAAACAATCAAATTAACGTGCACCTCAAAAATTCACCATAGATGGTTTGTTCAAAAATTCTCAAATAGATTATCTCAACCTCAAGATGTATAGACATGAGAAAAAATGTATTTCAAATCTTGAAAATAGTGCATCTTGTAATGCATTTCTTGAACTGTCAATTTTTAAGATTTTTAAGTATTCATATGTCAACTTGATTTATATTATCTTTGAAACTTTAAATTTTATAGTTAGAGATGAAAATAAATACTCAGGGCATCACAAATATTTTCAATACTAAAACAACGTCTTTCAACATTATTTAAAAGTGTATCTTACTTTGATTTTTTAGGCTTCCGCTTTATACAAACTTTTATTATTAGCTTATACTTTACAAAATATAGTGTCATTAACAATATAGTGTGATTGTTGAAGGAAAAATGTTTGATCAGTTGACCGACTCACTCATTTGCCCTCATTTTTTAAGGATTTAGAATTTGAAACATGTCCAGATCACTGGGAATCCATTTCCTCCTCTCTTTCATGGAATTTAAGAATAATTAAAATAAGCAATCCAAAAATTTATAAATAGATTGATTTTAAGGTTCAAAACTTTTTTGCCTTTTCTAAGTTCATGATCTACATAATTTTGGATTCAAAATCCGTCTTCAAAATGGGTTTTGAGAAGAAGAACTCATATTATTGTAATATGTGCATCACCAACCCATTATTTGAATAGAATTGAGTTAATTGGTGGGACTAATTAAACAAGTAATCCATGTTTAGAGTGTTTATACTGTTGATTTAGCAATTTTCAAATTGAATTTGTGAATTATTAAAGTATTATTAAATGGTCTGAGTTCAAATTTAACTTGCTCCAAAATAAAAAATTTAGTAATTTGCACATCTAGCTTGGATGATAACCCAGCTGAAATGAGTGTCTTTCCATTCTTTTTGCACACACGTGAAGTGTGAAGTGTGAGGTCCGAGGGATTTTAGACAAAATTAAGGATTTGTATACTCAAATATTATTTACTTTTGCCACAGCAACCTGACAATCACTTTTAACAGTTGGATGTCAAATTGGGCAGTGAGCATGGACTCTGCACAAAGCATGATAGAAAATTTGAAAGGATTTTGAGATTGGTTGATGGTAGATGGTAGATTTCACATATAATGGCTATAAGTGATTGTATCTTTTTTCGTCAACTGTAAATACTTTTATTATTATTATTTCCTATATTTGATTGAAGTAAATGCTTAGAAAATTGGTAGGGAGTTCGAATCGGTCACCCAGAGTCGTAATGGTTCAATTATTTAATATTGACCAATCTTATAAGAAAAGGAAAAGAAATAAAAATTTGGCAGGAATAATGAAAGATATATAAATCAAACATTCCAAATCAAATATTTGATTTAACCTAATAAGAGGAATAAATCAAAATCATCGAAATATCAAAATTAGTAAACACTTTGGGACGAAATGGCAGAAAAATGCTTGAGAAAAACAAAAAATCAATCCTAAAGGTTTTCTATTTTGATTAAAAAATTGGCTAGAACTTTTTGTGTAACATAATGAGAGAAATTTGAACCAATGTGAGGAAAGAATGAGAGATAAATAGAAGATTTTGGGTTTAATAAACTCCATAATTTTGGAGTCGATTCCTTCCATCTTGCATTTTTATCCAACAAATTATTACAGGCGTCTAGTAGAGGACTCTAATATCAACATTTTGAAACAATTTGCATATGATTTGATTAAGAAATGAGATAAATACCGCAAAAAAGATAGTTTGAACATTAAAACAAGAAAATTAGAGAGATTTTAATTAAAAAAACTCCTACAAACTGTAGATTTTGATAAAAAAAATGATTATGAGTGATAATATGGATCTATTTGTGTCTATAACAGATAAATTGGGAGTTCAAATTGTGGGATATGGGTTAGAAAACAAAAAAAAATGTTGTAAGAAAGGGTAGAAGGAAACTTAATGAAGTTTTGTGAGAACCGGTAGTGAACCCCTGGCCTTGAGCAGACTTGGGCAACTCCAAGTCGACTCAACAATTTTTGAGCCCTAAGTGAAACTAATGCTAGTATCCTAATTTTGTAAATTACTAGCTAGTATTCCAATAGTATATGTTAACTATATAGTTATCCAAACTGCTTCATTAAATGGCTTAAAACTAGATGATTCAGATCAAGAATCACCAATTCATACTGAAAATAAGTCAAGATCAAATTGGTTATAGGAACTATCAGTCATGACCCTAAAATTGCCTCATTCATATACATACGCATATACATACATAATGTATATATACATATTGTTGGCAATATTGCCTATCATGCCCTTTTATCCCAATTATGTATTTTCAATAATAGTACAAAAGCCTTATTGTATAGTATATGTGAAATCCCATGTGGTTGACATGAGGCAATGTCATTTACTAGGATCCATTTTGGAGCTTTTATAGGATGTTGCACTGGAGGTAAAACCAGTGCTGTGTTTGGATTCTTTGTAAGAATTGTTATTTTCATATTATAAACGTATAAAATTATTTAATTTCTAAATATCTTTTATCAAGTTGTAAGAATGCTTGAATGACATCCTATTATGAGAGACATTAGTGCACTAATGACAGGTTTAGCTCATTGTATAGGATTAATAGTTTGGTGACAACTTGTTAATCATAATTGGCCGCACTTAAATAAATTAAGACAGGAGTTATACTTGGATCTCAACTCCTATAGACCATGAATGTGAGAGTTACAAAATATGGCTATCTATAAAAAGAGATTAACCTCTCAAGTAGAAAGAGAGATAAAGATAAAAAAGAGGTGAAGGAGATTCACTAAGAGGACTCTTAACGTAGCATGTCACCAGATGGTTTGGTCTATAGGATTTGGTATGGAACCTTAGGTCCCTCGTGTGATTTAAGGACAGATCCGAGTAAGTTGTTTATCATTTTCAATTTTATTTATTTATTATTATTTTCAATGGGACTAACATATATATATATATATATATATATATATATATATAGATATATATATATACATACATACATACATCTAATGTTTTCTTAGGTTTTCCTAAATCCCCACTCGATAAACCCCTATTTTATTTTTTATTTTAAATATTTTTTGGGTTGATGATTCGAATGATCTAGGTTGTTGATCTAGTAATTCGACATATATATATCAGTAGACAATTCGCCTCATCGATTCGGGTTTTGAAACCATAGTTTTATTATATAGAGAAATAAGTTTTAAGTTTTTAATCTCGCATTGAATAATAGAGAAAGAAAAGTAATCTATTTATTTAGAAACACTTCATATCCTATCTTATTATAACATAAGGGAAAGTGTGAAGGCTTGTGTAGAGCATGTAAGTAAGGCACTTGAGGTGCACTTTGTAACAAAAAAAAAAAGAAAAGAAAATAAGAGGGCATTATTTTTAGTGTTGGATGTTGCATGACAGCTAAGGGTTGTTTATAAGCCATTGGATGTTTATTGTGGTTGAGGAGATTTATGGTTTTGTGTTTTTTTTTTTTTTTGAGATCGTCTATAAAGAGATCATTTATCTTATGTACATGGAGTTTCATAATCATTATTATCTTTAAGGTTTCAAAACGGGTGATTGTAAGAGTGTCATTGAAAAAATACAAAATTGAAAAAAAAAAAAAAAACTCGGACTTCATGACCACCCCAAGCTATCCAATTTGATACCTAATGAGTAAATGATTATGACCTCTATGTACAAAACATAAATAGTCTTTTTTTAGACAATCTCCCTTTTTTATATGGTTTTTAGTTGTTGGATATTGCAAGGTTGTTGAGAAGTTATGACAGTTGAAAAAGTGACTGTTGGTTTTGCTTTTGGCAATTAGTAGTTGTTAGGTAGTTATAACTGTTGATTAACACTTTAAGTACTTTATAGATAGGGATTTCAAATTCCCCATTTAATACATGTTATCCTCATCCGTTTTTATCTCTCTTACTACTTTGTGTCTCTATAAATTAAAGGCAACTCTAGTGCTTTACAGTTTTACTTTTCTAATCCAATGATAAGCAAGACTACAAAGAGATATTATGTTTTCAAGTATCTCGACGGCTAATTTACTAGTTATTTACATACTAATTTCAATAGTAGAGGCCAAATATACTCTTCATATGATGCTTATGCATCCTCGAAAGTAAGACCCTTTCACCCACACCCTTATTTTTCAATAGCTAGATAACTAAATAACATTTTGTCCCAATGCCAC